TGCCATTACGTGAAAATATTGCCACTACGTGACCATCGCTGTGAGAAATGAAGCCACATCTCTAGTTGATACAGCTTCAATATAACGATTAGATCGCAGAAAACTTGAAAAGATGTCGGATTACCTAAAAAACTTGAAGTTAAGGTTTAAGAATTGAGTGATTCTAGAAAAAGAATGCAATTCCGAAGAAAAGTCAGCTGTAGTTCCAATTCCCAAGGAAAAAATGCCACAAGAGAGTGCTTTGTTGCTGGAAAGTTGAATGTCTCTGGAGAATAAATTGAGAAGCTTGGACATTACTCGATAAACGGACAGTTTTTAAGCACTATTTTGCAAAATAATTAACAGGATAATAGTAGTTAAACAAAATTCACCGACATGAAATGAAAAGATTGTGTAAATAACTCGAGATAAATTTCAGTGAATATGTGATCCAAATGATACAAAAAGGGTCGTCAAAACTCAGAATTGCTAATCAGGAACCACGAAAAACTTCTCCCCATCTACTTTTGTCTTATACCTAACTCTGTCTTCTCTTATTCGCTGCAGAGCGGAGCACGTCCCACAAATTCCCGTACTGGTAGTATGAATGAAAGCAGTTCAATGGCATCATTCTCGATTCATTTCACTATGCTTTCCCGAGATATAACGCTGACAAGAAGCTGAGAGAATTCAAAAGCATGCACAGCTTTTTGTCTGCCAATGCTTTCTAGTGTATCAGGCGGCACCGAAACGTTGCTGCTTTATTTGTTCTTTAAACATAAAACCCGTCTTCAAGCCAAAACGTCCGACTCCATTTGTGACATGCAAAACTGGATAAAGTTAAAACGTAGGCAGTAATCAGCAAGAGATTAATCTGCTTAAGCAAGCCCAACAAGTGTGGTAGTGAAGAAAGTAAATGGAACGCTTGAAATTTACGCAGATTACTCAACTGGTTTAAATAACGCGACTGACCTACCCCAGTACCCTCTGCTTAGTGCCAGATGACATATCTGCCACTTTGCTTGAAGGTCGCATCTTCTTATAGATCGATTTCGCTAATGCATGTCTAGACATTGACAGAGACAAAAAATACAGAGAATTTTGTTCATAAATACTCGCGGGGACCTATATTGATACGTTGCCGCTTGGGCTAAGTCTGCGTCGGAAAACTTCAGCAAATAATGGATACTACGCTGGCAGAAATCAGTGCAGCGCTCGCGTATTTGGATAGTGCTATCAGTGGTGGACGCGCTGAGGAAGAAAATCAGCTCAACCCAGAAGCGGCTTTGAAAAGGATAAAAAAGTGCGGGTTCTATGTAAGCTTGGAGAAATGCAATTTATGTCAGTCACAGATCAGGTGTCTGGAATCGACTCTTAATAAAGATGGTCGCAAACCAGATTCAGAGAAGGTTAAGGTGATAGTCGATGTGGCCCACAAATTTACAAATGCCAGCCAATTACGATCATTTTCAGGGATGATTAGTTATTATGGGAAATACTTAAGGAATATGCATACACTTCGTGAGCCACTGAACAGATTATTACTCAAAGAAGTGGAATTTTATTGGCCAGAACAGTATAAAAGAACGTTTGAGATAGTAAAAAAGATCTTACAATCGGATTTACTCATTTCTGCAAACTGTTTTGCATTCTAAGAGTAATATCAGGTTATGATAGTTTATAATTAGTCTAAGTAGTCAAAAGATGACGACTAATCTATTGAAACATAGTAATAAACTGCAACAAATGAAATAAAAAATAAAAGAAAAAAATCCCGAATTGTAATTTTTTGGTCCACTAAGCTGCATACATTCCAAATCAGTACCACAACTGCACCTCGTCGGTAGGACGATTGCGGGAAATAACAGAGGTATTAAGTACAATAAAATTATGGCAAGTTTAAGACAATTTTTAGGGGTAAAAAGATTATGAAAGAATTCTTGCCCAAGTCGAAGCAAACATTTTAAATTCAACTTTCACGCGCTCCTAGATCTCATCTACGTACAGTCAGGCTGAGCAAGGAGTTGTAAAAAGCTGTAATTTTACGACTTTGTCTTCTGTTCACTGATGTGCTCATCGTGTTTGGGCAGACCCACGTAACAAAAACACTCACGCTTCCCCCTCACGTACGGACATATGAAAACTGACATAATCTCGCAACTAGGGCAACCAGAGTGCCGAAATTTTCTGAACACGAGCCAGGACCGTGCTCAAGTAAGTGCACGTGAAAACAGAACCCATTCACATACGAGCACTTGAAGCTTCATGTAACCTCACAACCAAACCAGCCACATTGCTGAAATCTTCTAAGTACGACTCGCAACTGCGCTTGGGCAGATGCACGTAAAAACAAATTCCACTTCCCCTTCTCGCACGAACACATGAAATTTGGCGTAACTCAGCAACCGAAGCATCTAGAATGCTGAATTTTTTCTTTGAGCATGGACACGGCCGTGTTTATTGAGTATCAGTGTAAATAATTTATGACAACTTGGTGGCCAGTCTCAGGTCGTTCAGCTAGAAGCATCTGACGAACAAAGAAAAAGTAAAAAACAGTGCTGCCAGCGACAAGAATCTGCAGGAAAAACTGTGCAGAAAAAGCATCTTCGCACTGACAGCCGATGCGATGGCAACAAGATTTAGCTCCACCCTACATCTAGAACAAAGAGGAGACTGCACGAATTTAAAAACAGACTCCGGCGGAAATCCAACTTGTAGTGGGAACTATCATAAGTCAAACGTAGTGCCAGCTGGTCATAATTGACCCATCCCGGAAAACGTGTGGGACCTCCTCTCAAATTACCTAGCTCTTTCCTGAGTAGAAGAAAGGAGTTGGAGGAGGCGGGGAGAAGGAAGGAGGGGGGGGGGGGGGGGGGGGGGGGGGGGGGGA